TTTTTTGTCTAATTCCTGATAGCATACCAGCTATTGCTTTTTTCTTAATTCAATATTAACAACTGCTTGTACTATTTTTATTATTCAAATTGCACTTTTTATATTTTACAAGCACTAAACAATTTCTATTTTCATCCTTAGATGCACTTCAGTGGTTTATAAGTACATCTTTATTTCTTTTTTTAACTATTCTGCCTATTATCAATTTTATATTATTCTTATTTATTAGCACCTATTTATACCTTTTCTTATCTTATATTAATCTCTTGCATGTAGATTGCATTATTATAATGTTTGTACCTTGTGTTTGAAACTCTGTTTAGACTGTTTTATCACCTTAATTACTTACTATTTTCTGCTTAATTTTTGTAAACCACTTTGCTTTTTGTTCTTTTTGTATACTTGTTTATAATGCTCTAAATTTTTTCTATGTAATAATTTTCTTATCATCCTAATCAATTAACTGTTGCATAAAAAATATTCTATACTTTTTTTTTTTTTTTAAATATTAAGATGAGTATTTGTGATTCAGGATTTTATTAATAGTATATTTGGCTAATAGTTGCATTACAACTACAGAAGACAACTATAGAAAGAGTGTACAACTAGCCACTTGTACAACTTTAGTCATTGTCTAATTTAAGTAGTCTGTCTGAAGATTCTACACTAGCTGCTATACCTGAAACCTGCTTGTAGATTCCCTATTTAATCACTCTAGTTTCCATATTCACCTATCTATCTCTGCCTACTAATGATTTTGGCTAATGCTAATGAAAATATGCCATAGTCACTAAGTCTTTAAAGCAGTTTTTTAGAACCTTTGATCTTGTACTAAACCTTTCAGAATCTTCTGTATCCTATTCTTACAGCTAACCTGATATCATTATGACCAAGATTAATACTAGTAGTCAGGATGTACTATTAAACTACTATGCTTTTGTAAAGTTTATTCAACTTTTGTACTGACTTTACAACATATCTTTACTAGTTTGGTACTTAATTTAAGTTCCACTAAGCTGTTATTTTAGATAGTCTGGAAAGGTAGATCAAAACCATACATCTCTGGTTTACATGTTTGCTAGCATATATACTTTTTCTCTGAAATCTAGAAATTTCAGCAGTCTGGTTGGTTTATTTGATCCTTCCTTAAAGACTAGCATATTTGTCTAGTTTTACAAGTTCTAGCTTTATTTCATAAGTCTAGTTTTTACAGTAGCATTATTAAAAGTTCAGATTACCTTTCTACTTAAGTCTTTCAAATAGGCTTCCATCTTCTTTCTTTTGGTTCCTATAATTTACATATCTATAAAGACTTATTGTAAATTTGCACTGTCTGGTATTAGTTTGTAACTACAGACCTTGTTCTGAAAGACAATGTTAGGTGACTGTTATACAAATTCTATATAATCTGCCAGTCATGCTAGTATGACACAGGTAACAGGTATCTTATCTCAACTAATTGCAAGAGACAGTTAACTATAATACAGAGAAAATTTTCAAATTTTCTGTCAATACTGGGATTTGAACTCTGGACCTGCTACTTGAAAGTTGACAACCTGACTACTTTACTAGGTTTCCATATTACTTAAATATTCTATACTTCATTAACCTTCTATATGCTATTCTAAATATTTTCTTTTCTATTAAACTATATATAGTTTTACTTGTACTATAAACCTGCCAAAGATTACCTTTTGCTTTTACTATTATACTTATTTCTTTTGCTTTAAACATGCCAAGTTATTTTTCTAAATCCTTTTTAAGTTGCTTATCAAAGCTATGTTCAATTTTTTTAATATTAATTCTATCAAAGCAAAGCCTTGTTTTACTTGTATTTATGTTATTTTACCAATCTGATCTAGCTTATTTAGCTTTCTTTGCACTGGCACTAACTGATTATTAAATATTTCTTGACTCAATATTTTATATTTTCTTAAACCTTAATACATAATTGCACTATTTCTTGTAGTTAATAACAGACTTATTTTGTTTTTGATTAGTCTAATTACTGGTTAATATAAGCAATTTAGCTGTCTTTTAGATGCTTTTGTAGTTTGCAGTATATATATCAATTTTGGTATTATATATATATTATTAATGTATATTAACTGACTAATAGTTAACTTCTTAAACTGTAAGCTTTGCATGAACTGTTGTATAATACTTTTTGTTCTTTTAATAACTAAACTTTTATTTGTTTCTATACTTAACTACATCTCTAGCAGTCTTGATAGTATATGCTTCTTTTTAACTTATAGTTAAAAATTGTTTATTATAACAAACTTTTTTTCTTTTTTTTGTATCTAAGTTAATTACTAACAGGTTTGGCTTAGTATTATTGATTTAAATGTTATTGAATTTAAAGAACCTTTGTGAAATCTAAATAATTTTTTGCATCTTCTCTTTTTTCTTTATTATCCAAAATGCATTATCAGTATATAATACTGCAACTTGTTTCATCTTTTTTTATTTTAATTTTATTTATTTGCAAATTCAAAACTTTATACATTTCAATTTCTTAATCTAACCACAAATCATCTTGAATTCTTTTTAATAACAGGTCATAAAATATCCTTTAGACTAATGATGAAATTGTTTCTTTTTGCTCGATTTTATTTTTAGCAACAAATAACTTTGTTATCCCAAACTCTATTATAATGCTAACTTTTCTTCTGCTATACAACTTTAAGATAAATCTTACTATCTCAACTGGCAACTTAATTTTCTGTAATGCTAGTAAAGTAATTTTATTGATACTAAGTTGTATGCTTTCTTTATATCTTGCATCAGTAACTACAACTCTTTATTACTTTCTTTTACATCTTTTTTTATTATCTCTATATGTAAATTGCTTTTTTTGTTAAGTTTTTTGGTAGACTAGCAAAGGTTAGACCTTTGAGTATTTCTTATTCTTTTATTATACTAAACATTTTTTTTGTTATCATCTTAATTAAGCATTTTCTAAATGTTTCTAATAATGCAATTGGTTTAATATTACAAAGCTTGTAACCCCAATCCTTATCTTTTGGAATTAGATATATTTGCACTAACTTTCACTTATATAGTATCTTTTCAAGCCTCAAACAAATATCTAAAACTTTTCTAAAGACTTCTTGTGTTTTATTACTTGTGTTTTTGATTAATCTGTAGCTAATATTTAACAAGCCTGATGCTTTTTTATTTTTAGTTATTTCTATTGCTTTCATCTATTCTTCAATTAATATTTTTGTCTTTAACTTCTTATATTACTCTTTTCTAACTTTTGCAAGTAGCTTGTAAATCTCTTCTATTACTTTTTCATCTTCAATAACATTTTTCTGTTTTAACTGCTTACTAAAATATTCTTTTATCTGCTTCAATACTACATTTGGTTCACTGATTAAGATATGTTTACTTTCTTTCTGTTTTAATACTCAGTTAATTCTAACTTTGTTGTAGAGTTTGTCTAGAATACTAGTAAACATTTTTCTTATTTCTTCATTAATTTTTTTACATCTTCTACTTATTACAGTATTGATTTTATCCCTTGTATACTTGTTTTTTTCAATCTTTTCTGCTACTCTTAATGCTTACTACTGCTTCTTTATTAGTTGACACTACTCTTCAAAATTTGCTACTTTGTCTTCTTCTATATAGTCTATTTCTAGACTATATTCTATATTTATCTTATTTACTTTTATATTGATTTTTTTTAAGTTCAGTTCAGTTTTTTTTTTTTTTACTAGCTTCTTAATCTTCTGTAATAGCTTACTTAGTGCTACTATTCTCTTATACAATATTGTTATTTTCTTCTTTTTTTTCAATATTACTATTTCTTTAAATTATCTTTTTTTTTAATATGTTCTATTAGCTGTATTTTTTATTGCACTGGATATTATATCTTAAACTTTATTTATATTAATGCTAGTCTACTTCTTTAAATACTTTTAGTCTTTTATTCTTAGATAAATAATTTTTAAGTTTTATTTGATAATCTTTCCAATTTTCTTTTATCATCTTATTATACAAATAAATTGTTTTTGTTAATTCTTTTTTCTTCATTTTATTACACTATTTGTTTTGACCAAGTATTTGAATATTAAAATTGCACTAACAATATTATAATTACTTGATATTATAAATTTTGTATCAATAATTTCTGCCTGTTCTAATCCTGATTATAGATCTTCTAATACTTATATCTGATTGATTCTTGTTTGTATATCTTGTTCTATCTAAGTATAATCTCCTAATTCTAGGTTGCAGACTCTGTAAGTATTACCAAATCCCTGTCTTATAAGCTATTTATATAATAGAAATAATTTTTTACTATTATTTTCATTACTACTTGTCTTATTTAGTTTGCTGTATACTATATAATTAAAACTATCTATAACTATAAATTGTAAGTTATTTGCTCTCTTCATATACATATTTATTATTATTTGTTGTAACTTTTTTGTTTTTTCTTTATTGCTTGGAGAAATATATACTACTACTATTATTATTTCTATAGTGCAGAACACTTAAAGGTGGAAGTCACGTGACTTGTCCTATTTTGGCATAATTTTAAAAAAAATCTCAAATCGCACAAAAATCATATTTTTACCTGAACTCGAGCAGATATTTATCATAAGATACATCATCTTGATTGGAACCAATTTATTTCTCTGGTTTTAAAACCTACAGATTTTTTAAAAGTAATTAATTTTAAATCACATACAAACATTATTTATTTTAATTTATTTTATTTAAATCTATTTATTAATTTTTTTTAATCGCTCATCTATTTATTTAATCGTATATCTATTTTTTTAATCATGCATTTATCTAGATTTATTTAATTAATTGCACACTAAATTGATTTAACTTTTTTTTAATCACGCGTTAATTTATTTACTTATTTATTTTTAATTGCAATTTAAATTTTATTTTAATTTATTTATTTAATCAACATCTATTTATTTAACCACGAATCTATTTATTTAATCACACATCTATTTATTTAAATCACGATTTATTTAATTAATTGCACGCTAAATTTATTTATTTTTTTTTAATCACGCATTAAAAAATTGCAATTTAAATTTTATTTTATTTTATTAATTGCACATTAAAATTTTAATTATTTATTATTAAACAGTACCCACTTCTCTATTTTCTTGAACAAATGAAGCCAATTCATTTTCAGGAACTCTTCTATGCAATTTAAATTTTTTACATGCATATTCTGCCAACTTTCCTATCAATTCCCCATGATACAACTCCATATATCTCCATGATTTGCGAGTGAATTTTCTAATCGTAACGATATCTACCGAATTAAGTGCTTCTGGAACAGCTTCTTGCAAGCCGGTCCATGTGTAATCACAGTGATTTCTTGCATATCTTTTAGCCGCCCCCCAATACATTTCGATAAAATTAAGTTCGCAGTAGAACTTCAGATAGAAAATGCAGATATGGTCGGCACCTTCGATTAATTCGACAATGGTGGACTTTTGGATAACAAAATCTGGTTGAGAGGCCATAATTTTCCTCAAGCAACAATCCATTCTTTCTGAATCATTCTTTTTTTTACACATTAAACAATCTAAATTTAATTCCTCTTTAAAAAGTCCTCTTTCCTCTAATATCTTCTTTATTCCTTTCGGCTTTTCTCTCAAATTCGGATTAGGGTAATCCTCTTCAAATACCATTTCTTGTGCCCTCTGTCGACCATTAACATCAATAAAAGTTGTTGGTCGCATTACGCTTTGCTTTTCTCTGGGCCCTTTGTTCATTTTTTGTACTACAAGGGCATCATCTGCAAAAGCCGCATGATTTGTACTATTATTGAAGGCAAAGACGGCTGTTGCACCAGGAAACTTTGCTTCAAAAATGGGAATGGCCTTTTTTTTGATTTGTTTCAATAAATGTTTGATTGTCTAGTAATTTTCTTCATTGTTATCGGGTTTAAGATAGCAGCATGCTTCTGCAGGAACATTAGGAGGTTTTCCCTTTCATTTTCACTTAGTTGTAATCTACCACATGCCTCTGAAACAAATTCACTCACTATAATTGATTTTTCACTCCCTTTTTTACGTAATGGCATTATCCCACTATATACCCAAATTCCTCTTTTTTCATCATACGAATAAAAGATACACTCATCATAAGTGACAAGGATTAACTCTCGTTCATCTACCCTAAGTACAGGTGGAATCTGTTCCATTTTTATTTCTTCATATGTTGCCATCCACCATTCTAAAATCTTCATCTTCTCTAAAAACCTATTTCGATATTCAACAATGTCGCTTTATTCGTGTCCATCCAAGTACATACCCTTCTGGTATTTTTTAAACTGACAACCTAAAATATTCAACCATTTTTTAGCCATTCTCAGGCTAATTGACTTTTTTATCCCTCCCATATGCTCAGGTAAAATAACAGGATTGACATATTGTCTAAACTAAGATGGACTAATGCTATTTACTACTGATTCTTCTCATATCCACTGTATACATTTTAGTGCCACATCTTTATCATCAACTAACCATTTATATTTTTGGTGCTGGCCATGATGGGATATTGGAAATGATTCATTACATAAATAAAAATTACCCAGAAAATAGATTCTTTTACATTTGTATGGGTTTGGGATAACGTAAACTATGTTTGCTGCAACTTCACTTGCTTTTACTTTTTCATGACCATTGTATACCCTTACAAAATATTCATAGACAGCCTGTCATTTGTTATATTCTAGAGTGGTGAATGTTCTTTTGTTTTTTAAAAGTTCATCCTGAAGCTGTGCAATTACATCGCCAAGTTCAAAATATGCTTCCTCACTATTATCGTCACCTCCATCAGCATCACTATTCTCGCTTTCATCCTCATCATAGTTCAATTTGGCCAAAATTAAATGCCTTGGGGACGCTGTCCATAATGCTGAATACATTGGTAATGCTGATGTTGAAGGCCCAAAAAAATTGGTTATTTTAGAAGTTCCTTTGGCTGCATTGGTAAGCATGCCTGAGGCACCAAACTTGCGATAATAGGTTGACTTGGAAAAACCCCTTACTGTCTTTATTTTAGGCTTTTTGTTCCATACAAGGGGTACTGTAAGTAAACGTATGCATGTTCTTTCTTCATCGTCTATACCTTCATATTCCTCCTGATCACTATATTCCTTCTCACTGTATTCCTCTTCATTGTATTCCTTCTGACTACTGTATTCCTCTGAATTTTGTTCAGAATTATCATTTCCTTCTAACATATCCAACTTCTTCTATCTTTTTTGGGCCATTTCCTTTCTTATATCGTTGTATTCATGAAGTTTTGCGAGGATTTTTCTTTTGACCATATTTTGGTTTTTTTTTGAAGTGAAAGTGTATTTTTATTTTTATTTTTTATTATTTTTTTTTTTTTAATAATAAAGTAACCTCCAGTGAACTACTGTTATAGGTATAGTTTTTGTGATGTTTCGTCTTGCTTTTTTGTCCCACTCTTCTTTTCATTGTTAAGGTCTGATCATAGCACTATTCATTTTATTATTGGGATGCTTTATAGCATTGTCTTATTATTCAAGTGTGTTCATCCCTTAAATGATTTTTTTGTTGCATCGATATCAGATATGATCAATTAATAAAACTCAAATAAATTTTAATAAAGCATGTGATGATTTATTAGCCAATCAAATAAAAAATAAATTTTGATTGGATAATTTCAGGTCATGTTATCTGTCCTATTTTCCATCGATCATATAAAAATGCAGTTTTTTTAATCAGATATATCTTGATAATGGGTAATTGTATTTTTAAAAAAGAGCTGCTATTTTGTAGTAAACAGGCTTGGTTACAAAATAGTGGCCCTCTTTTTTTTGTAGCATATCTGTATAACTTTAGATTAAATTTTGAAATTATTCAATTTTAGGGTTGTCTTTAGGTGTTCTGCACCGTATTTGTTTGAAATAGAACTTTGTTTTAATTAAGTATTCTTCAAATCTATAGATTTCTTTTATATGTTTTTTTCATTTTTAACTTACTAACAACTCAACATCTAATTCTTTCTTATTTGTATTCTCACTTTGTAACCAAACACCTTTATAGTAATTGTTCTCTAAACTATATTTTAATTCTTTATTATTACTATTCATTTTTACTAATCCTAGAATATTAACTTCTTTTTCTTTTTTCTACTTAACTATTGTTCTTAGTTTGATTTTGTTATGCTTTATTCTATTTATGTTGTAACATGCTATTTTAACACTTGTTATACCCTTTTCACTTTTGTTATATTTATCTACACTTTGTATAAACTTTTTACTACTGCTTTTTAATTCTATATTTGACAAAGTAGTTACTTTTTCTTGAAGAATGCCTATAGCAACTTTTAAGAATAATTTGAAAGCATGTCTTTTAATTGTCTTTCTTTAATATCTTCTAGTTTTCTTAAAATTCTGCTAAGAACATCTTGTAAATCACTTTTTGACTCCTTTGTATAAACTGCTTTTGCCTATATATTATCATTATACTTTCTGTTAACTTTTTTATCTTTTGTCTGCTGGTTTTCTTTATTATTATCTTTTTTCTTAATATTTTCTTGATTTTTCAAGTGTTTTATATACTGTGCACTTCTATTCATATAATATTCTTTTACATTTTTGTTTTCTTCTCTTTTGATTTTACTGTTTCTAAATGCCCTTTTATTATATTACTCTAATCTTGTATTGTAATAGTATGGCTTTTTTTTGATAGCCATTATTAAGTCTTCTTCTGTTTCAAAATAAACTGATACAATTTTCTATTAGTTTTTGTTTCTATTAACTGAAATATTAACTACTTTTGTTTTTATTACTTTTAGTTATCTTAATAATAACATCTCTATTGCTATTGTTAGAATATTTTTTTTTTTTTTTTTTTTTTTTTTTTTTATTTATATAATATCAAGTAGGAAAATATAGTAATACATGGGTATATCAATTGGATATAAATGTATA